CATGTCCGCAGGTCACTCCGAACCATCGATATATATATATAATGATCAATGCTGACCACACAAGAACAGAAACCGTCGTTTTGGAACACTTGCCTGGTAAGTTGGGAGAGTAGGACGACAAGAGGCAGGAGGACGATGTGGAGGTCGAAGGGAAACTGAAGAGGACCAGGAGGAATACGAGGAAAAGGACAAGCACAATGACGAGGCGGATGAAGACGAGGAGAACGAGCACGAGAAGGATGAGGACAAGATCGACGAGGAGGGGTAGGACGGCAACGTGTGAAACGAGGAAGATAGCGTGGATAAGGAGCTGGGAGGACGAGGACGAGGTCCTCGAGAAGGAGAAGAAAAGGATAATAATGACGAGGAAGACGAGTAGGACAAGATGGAAGAGGACCAACACGAAGGGAAGGACGACTACGGGAAAGACAAAGTGGAGAACCACGTGGAGGACAGTGGGGAGGACAGTGAGGAGGACGACAAGGAGACCCAAAGACGGCCCCAAAAGAAGCCCAAGAGATGGTACCTTGAAGGGGCCCTCCGGGCATTCACCCCAAGATCACGATGGCACCCAATACCCCAACCATAACCCCAAAAGGCCCCCAAGAGCCCCCCAGAAGCCCCCGAGAGGCCCCCAAGAGCCCCCGTATGAGGCTCCCGAGAGGCCGCCAAAGATGCCTCCAGAAGGCCCCCAGGAGGCTTCCAAGAGGCTTCCACGATGTGCCCGAGAGGCCTCCAAGAGGCGCCTGAGAGGCACTCCGAGACACCCCAAAAGGCATCAAAGAGGCCTCTGGCCAACGACCAAGGCACGATGGCAGGATGGGCCGAATGCCATCTGATACGACATCAGAAGACAGACCCCAAACAGTTGTTTCATTAGAATGTCCTTACCGACCACACGATACTGCGGCAGCTGCTACAGGTGATGCACTACCTTCTGGTCGTGCTGATTCACACCTGCTGAATATTATGATGCTGTCCCTGCTGCAACTGGCGATGCTCCTGTTACTGTTGATGCTACTGCAATTGCTGGATGATTTTACTGCTGCAAGTGCTGTCGCCACTGGCAGTGCTTCAGCCACTGCTACTGTTCCCTTGTGGATCCAGGGTGGGGAATAGGAACAGGGGGACAAGAGGGAAGAGGAGGAGAGGCGAGGGTATATATAGGAGAGAGGGGGGGGGGAGGAAGCAAGGGGGAGGAGAAACGCTCGAGGGCGGGACCCTCCTGGCAAGTCTGATGCCTGGTCATGGTCACGAGGGCCTTGCAGGTGCCGCACGTGACCTCGCCGTCCCTGTCCGGCCACTCTGCGGGGTCCGTGCAGGTCGCCTTCTGCTGTCGGGGCAGGTGGAGACGGACAGCAAAAGACGGAGAGGGACGGAGGACGGAGAGAGAGAGAGAGGGAGGAAAGAGACGGAGGGAGAGAGAGGGAGAGAGAGGGAGAGAGAGAGAGAGAGGGAGAGGGAGAGAGAGAGAGAGGGACGGAGGACGGAAAGGAGGAAAGAAACAGCAGTGGGAATGAACCAATGCAGACACAGAGATACTCTGGAGAGTCCTCACGAGCGGCGAACGTATCCACATCCACGCCCTCGCGGTCTGGATTCTGCGGCGCGGTCCCGCGGGTACGCGGTCGCACAGGTAGGTTCCGCGCGGGATGTGCGAGAAACAACGCCTCGTATCCGCGGGGTCGCGGCCCAGGGGCCCTGCCCGCGAGGCAATGCGACGCATACGGAGACTTCCTGGCACAGCCAAATGAACTAGAGGTCTCGCTTGAATGTGTGAAGAACCGCGTCCCGCAAGACCTCCCGAGGGCACAAGAAAGCGACGACGGATGCACGCCTGGCAACACCCCGAACCTTTGTACATGCGCGCTGCTCTCACAAATACAGCTTACCTGACACAACTGATGCATGCTGAACCGAACATAACAAGGCAAAGTGATAGAACGACAGCAGCACAATGAGGCGGGTGGCAGGCAACGCTAACCTACATACTCAGAAAGGGAAGGAATGGGAGGACGGGGGCCTCCTGGTGGGTAAACGAATAAGTACTGATACCGCTACTCCCTGGACCTCTCTCGGGTTCTGACCAGAATTTCGAAACGAATCCAGCATCGTCGACGAGGGCCTCCCACGAGGCCCAGAAAGGGGAAAACGAGAGACGGGTAGCGGTACGGGTACCTTTTCCCCCACTGATCCTGAGAGGACACAAGAGCGTTCCAAGAATGCCCAGCATCGTTAGAAGACGTCGCTACGGTTTCGCTTCGGCACTGCCTTGGGAGGCCAGTCTTGAAGGGGCCCAAGGACACACAAATAAATAGACAGACATCCAAGGATTCCCCTTCCATCTGTTCTAGACGTTCGTCTTCCCCTCCACTTCCAATGTTTTCCATATGTTCGAGGGCATCGTCGACTATGTGCGTCTGTGTGTTGTTTGGCAGGCAAAATGTCTTCGCCCACCGACACCAGATGGAGCGCGAGACTTGTGAATTGGGTACCTTGGTTTAGAGTGCACGCAAAGAGAAGCGTAGGCCGCTCGCGGAAGAGGTGGACAGACGTGTAATTGTTTTAATTTCTTGTTCTCCCGTTCCCCTCCTGCCGCTGCCGTTGTTGCTGTGCTGCCGCTGCCCCCCTCCGCCGTCCGTCCGGTCGCCGTTGTCCTGCTCTGCTGCCGCTCTCCCTCGCTCGCTCTCCTGCCTCCTCCTCCGCGCTGCTCTCTGCTCGGTCTGCTCTGCTGCTTGTTCTTCCTGTTTTCGTTCGTCGCCCCCCCCCCCGCGTCCTCCTGCCGTCTGCCTCCTTCTTCCTGTCGTTGCTGCTGCTGCTGCTGCTGCTGCTGACCACACAATCAGCCGGGCGCCTGACGATCGACGTCTGTCACGCCGCGCCGCGGTAATTTGTTTCATCTCGCACTGTGCACTGTTGTTTCACTTTTTTGGAGGGTGACAGTGGGGGTCGGGCGCAGGGTCCCGGCAATGATGTTTTTTAAAGTCGTGAATGGGCGATACATCCTCGATTGCTGTGTTCGGCGGGGGAACTAATTGAAGCCCCCCGCCTGCGCCCGCGCGCGAGACTTGAGGGGAAAGGAAGCAAGGGGGCGGGGGGCTCGGGAAAGGCGACGAAGGCAACGTGCGCTAAGGGCGCAACAAGAACAGGCTGGAACACACGAAAGCGGTCAGGTGAGTGTCGAAATCTGCCCAGCCAATCTGGCATGCGGAACACTGCGCCTCAGTATTGGGGATCTTGAAGGCCAGGGCAAAATGTGAATTCACATTGTGGGGAAAAGCAAAATGTGAATTCACATTTTGGGAAAAAGGAAAATGTGAATTCACTTTTTGGGAAAAAGGAAAATGTGAATTCACATTTTGGAATGTTGTGTAGGATTCTTTATGAAGGGGCCAGAATGTGAATTCACATTTTGGGAAAAAAGGAAAATGTGAATTCACATTTTGGGAAGAAGGAAAATATGAATTCACATTTTGGGAGAATCGCGGGGCCCGTTCCAAATCTGTCTTGGGGGTCGAGAAGTGATCGTTTGGGAACATACGCGATCAGCAACCGCACAATCAAGACACACTTGCACTCCACTTCGCCGACCCACGCGCAATATGCAAGAACGCCCGCACGCATGAACGATAATGGATGGACGGCGCGTGTGCCCGCGCGGGCAACGCGCGGGCACGAATGACTGGCCATCAATGACCGCCAGCATTGGATGCCAATCGTACCCGATCACATACATGAGCGATACATTGAGCATACATGGGCCATTCAGCCCCCATTGAAGACCCCCTGTTGCAGACCCCCTCTTTCACCCTCCAACTTTTTTCATACGTTGCGATATTTTCACACCTCGCCGGTTATGTCGGCCCGGCGCCTTGCCGGGGCAGGCGGAGTTCCCGCCTCCCCACGGGCCGCTCTGCTCTGCTCTGCTTTGTTTTGTTGTTTGTGTGCTGTTTGCCCTCTTGTATTCTGGAGGCCGCGGCGACCGCGGCCCCTTCGGACGGCACCTACCTCTCGTCGGGATGCCCTTGGCATGCATCCGAGAGGCCCGACGTGTCAAAGAGACGCCAAACTCTTGTTTAAATCCGAGGGCGTGCGCGAGACGGTCGGGCGCCACAGGCTAACACAGGAAGAGCAAAAGATGAGAGAAGAGACGAGGCGGAGCCCGATCAGTCGGCGCGGAAATGCGGGGGGGAGATGCGAGACGCCAAACTCCTTTAGAAGCACCGTTCGTCCCAGTCCCTGTCGGGTATCCCTGTACCGTATGTCCCTGTCCCTGTCCCTGTCCCTGCACCGAGATGCGAGATGCGCAACTCATCGTGCTCGTTCCTTCGGGTATCCTCCTCGTCCTTGTCGGAGTCGGCCACACGACCTGCACCTTGGACTGCGATCTAGAGGCGAGTCCATGTCTTCGCCTCTTTCTCTTCATCCTCAGCCTTCCCCTCCCTTCCCCTCACTACTCTCGTCCCCGCCCCGACCCCCTCCCCCCCTCACCCCCTTCCGCCTTCTCCGTCTAAACCTGCTCCTCCAGCCTTCCCCATCCCATCCCCTCCTCATCTCTCCCCTTACCCAACTCCCATCCTCCTCTACTCCCTTTTCCTCCCTCCCTCTCTTACCTCCTCCCCCATACCCCTTGCCCCCCCCCCCCCCCCCATCACCCAATGGCTGGCTTCACCAGTTGTGTACCACACTCGTAAGAGGCTCCAGGCGCCGTGCTGAAACGATGCATTAGACACAATGCAATCCGAGCCAAAACCAAAGCTCGGGCTCCAAGCAACGGACGGTGAGAAGGCGGACATAGATCTGAGGAAGAAGGCTGCAAAGTGATGCGAGTACTGCTACCCCTGGACGCAGCCCTGATGGCGGGAAACGCAGCCCGACAGCTCTGGATCACATCCATGATGTCCTTGTGCACTTCTTTTGAGCACGCCCGAATGCTTCCTGAAGTGTGAGTTGCGTCGGGATCGGCGGCCCAACCAGCGGGGCGTTCGACGTGTCCTTAGTCAGTACGCCATGCACGCCACGCATGAGAGGTACGGCTGCCACAGCGCAAGACGCAGCAAGAGACTTGACCTGCTCCTGGAGGGCGGAGACCTGCGCAGTCAGTGTATCGACAGAAGGGCTGGCGACCGCATTGCCTATCACATCTGCTGGTGGAGGTGGGTCGGGTGGCCCAGACTCGGTGCCAATCTGTGAAAGGAGGTCACCACAATATTCACGAGTGAGGTGTCGGCAAACCGAGTACGCAATGTTGAATTTCAGGACTTTGTTGATCACTTTGCGGGACTGCTGCCCCTTAGAGTGAAGCATGGCCTCGTTGATGGTGGGCATGTGCTGACCAGTCTGCAGTGCGACGCGCTGGAGAAGCCCACTCGCAAAGTCGCCAAGAATCGATCGAGCGCTGCCATGTGAGATAATAGCCTCCTCATGCTTTACACCGTTGGACACCTTCTTCTTCAATTCAGGGGCACGCCATTGCGGAGAGCGAACCATAGTCGGGGAAATGGTGAACAGGGTGCGGCCGTGCGGGTTTCGAGCCTTGAGCCACAATGGCTTGAGCCAAAATGGCTACGGCTACCTCCTCCCCCGACCCCTCCTTCTCCCTCCTTCCCCCCCATCCCCCTCCTCCTTCGCTTCCTCCGCCTTCTCTGTCTGGCCCTGCTCCTCCAGCCATGTCCTGCTCATCCCCTTCCCATCCCTCCTCCCACCCCCCTCCCCAACGCCTATCTATCCTTCTCCTCCCTCCCTCTCCTCTTCCCTCCCTCCCCTGCCCCTCCTCCTCCCTCTCCCCCCCTCCATCCCCCTCCTGTTCCTACTCCCTCATCCCTTCGCATGATGAATAACACCGCCCCGTCGCACTCCGAGACGTGTCGGCAGGTCGGGCCGCGCATTTCGCCTGAGACTGTTCCCCATTTCTGATTATGAAGCTTGGATGTTGTAACTGTTTAACGAATGGGGGGCAGGCCGCTTTCAGAATGTGGTAATCGCCCTTAGCGTCCCGCGAATGTGTCTCAATGTTTGCGAGCGCTCCATGGATGGAGGGCGGGTGGTGTCCATCATGTGCTTCTATCTTTAGCGCCGCGCACAATCGTCTTGACAGTGTGCATGAATTTCGCAGATCTGGGGCGGGCCGTTTTCAAGATGCAGCTATCGCCTAAGCGCAGCGCACATTCGTCTTCAAAGTTTGCGCGAGTTTCATGGATGAAAGGCGGCTCCGTTTGAAAATGTAGTAATCGCCTTAGCGCCACGCACAACCGTTTAAAAGCTTGCCATAGTTTCACTGATAGAAGGCGGTTCCTTTTAATATGTGGCTCTCGCCACAGCGCGGCGCACGTTCGTCATACAAGTTTGCCAGGTGTTCAAGGATTAGTTTGGTTGACGTCCCACGAGCGGTGCTTCAGCACGACTTAGTTAAGATCGCCAAAGTGTAGCAGTCACACGTGTTGAGGTCCCATAAATTCGTTTGGGGACCATGAAGAGGGAACTTGGAGGGAGGGCTCATTGCAACATCGTTGGTGCGTCTTGGGTCTACAGTGGTCCTCCTCTTCCTCCTCCTCCTCCTCCTCCTCCTCCTCCTCCTCCTCCTCCTCCTCCTCCCCAGCGGAAGGCGGTCGCGCGGCATGCGGGTTCTGGCAGCCGCAGATCAGGTCGCCGGAGCCAGACGGGACACCGTCGCACGCGACGTCCCGCGAAACCTGGGGTCACCGTCGTGGGTCGCCAGTGGTCGGTAACGGGTCGTCGTCGTCGTCGTCGGCACCGTCATCGTCGTCGTCGTCGTTCAGTCGATGGTCGTCCCAGAGTCAAACCCGAACAGGTGAGAATCACAACATCTTTCAAACACCTATGGAGAATAACCAGTTTGGGCATCCTTGGGCTCTCCAGGAGGGCCTCTTGGAGACTTCTTGGGCCGTCTAGGGGGCTTCTTCACCTGTCCTGAGGCTGTCTTGAGACTCCCTTGGGTCGTCTTGGGCCATCTCGGGCCATCTTGGCCGTCATCTTGGCTGCCTTGCAAGCCACCCTGCAGTCCATAAGGCTCCCAAGAAGACCTCAAGACAAATCAAGAGGCCCCCAAGGCCGCCCAAGAACCCTCCAAGAGGCCTCCAAGATAGCTTCATCACAGCCAAAGGTCCGAAGCCGGCACAAGAGAACCGAAAGATCGCCCAAGGGCTTCCCAAGAGGGCACCAAGACGACCGTGAACAGCTCCAACAGGGTACCAACGCGGCCTAGAGAGGCCCCCAAGGCGGCCTCTCTAGGCGTCAGACGGGCCAAGAGTCCCCTGAGACGGCCCAAAGGCCCCGAAAGGCCCCCAAGAGGCTCATGATGCCCCCAAGAAGCTTTCAGAAAGCTTCCAGGAGGCCCCCAGGAAGCCCCAAGAAGGCCCCAAGAAGCCTTCTCCTCATCTATCATAATTTTCTCCCTCTCGGCCCCTCCTCCTCCTCCTCCTCCTCCTCCTCCTCCTCCTCCTCCTCCTCCTCCTCCTCCTCCTCCCCAACCTCCTCCTCTACCTCATCCTCCTCTTCCTCCGTACTGCTCGGACGAAGACGAGGTCGGGATCACGACCCGCCCCAATGCTGACTACTCGTCGGAATTGCTCTGTTCCTACACTCAGCCTCCTTCCTGCTGCGCTGCTGCAGAAGAACGGTGGCGGGGGTTGCCGCAGGCAGCTTGGTATCCGTTCCCACTGCCTTATGGGCCGGGCCCCTGGGCCGCGACCCCGCGGATACGTGCTTTTTGTTCGCGGATGCCCCGCGCGAAACATATCCACGCGACCGCGTGGCCAAAGGATCGCGCCCCAGAATCCAGACCGCGAAGGCGTGAGTAACCCCAGAAAGCATTTAAGAACCCCCCCGGCGATATCTTAGCACCGCATTTTTATTCGATATTCCGAGGGGCCGAAATAACCACACGATAGGTTTAGCACCCGGACACACAACAAATTCGCGGAGGCCTGGCCCCTGGGCTACAATCGAAATTCGAAACTCAAATCTGCGTGGCTCTCATGAAAGACTCAGGATGTCGCTTGCTGCTTGGAGGAGGAGGAGGAGGAGGAGGGGGCGCGGGAGGAGGGCGCGGGAGGAGGAGGAGGAGGAGGAGGAGGAGGGAGGAGGAGGAGGAGGAGGAGGAGGAGGAGGAGGAGGGGGCAGGAGGAAGTTCGTGGGTGGAGGAGAGGAGGAGGAGGAGGAGGAGGAGGATGAGGAGGAGGAGGAGGAGGAGGAGGAGGGCTCCTGGTGCCAGGTAACGCTTCCAGGGTGCGGAAGGGTTATCGATTTGCCGGAAGGGGGGGGGTTCTTAAATGCTTCCTGGGGTTATGGATGGGTTCGCCGCTCGTGCCGAATCATTGTTCGACAGTTCTGGAAACGGGGAGAGCAGCCCGAGGGGCCGACGACGACAAAATATGCCGAGAAGAGCACCAAGCGGGGGGCCGAAACCAGTGGTCTACATCAGATGCCATACCCCTCCCTCTTCCAGACCCTCCGACTTTCGTACGACCCGACCACCTCTCGCTCTGCCAGCCTACAGCCGCACCGCCCCAACCCATGGCGTGGCCAAGTCTCGGCGAACATCTGATACAAAGGCACATGAACGGGGTGGCCGCGGAGAAGCAAATGCTCGATCTGCGACACTTGACGCGCATTTGTGCCCTGCGCGCCCCGGTCAAATCCGAGGGCACGAGAGCTACTGACCAGCCAGACAGGTCGTTCCACGAGCCTGATCTGGATCGTGCCAGAAGGGACGAGGCAGATCCGCCCCCGCCTTCGGCAGGGGGCCACGCTCGGCCCACACCACGCCAGACGCCAGATGGACAGCACGGATGGAAAGGAGGACTCACGGCATGACGTGGCAGCGAGGGCGAGGGCCGCAGCTGACCCCCTGATTGCAGCACTTCGGGTCGGACGAAAGGGGGGGGGGAGGTACGGGGAGGGGAGGCGCACCAGCTCTCGTAGCTGGCTCTCCCGGCGCCGGAGGCGCCAAGATGCGTCGAGGAGAGCGCCGGGCGGCGGGGTCCAGCGTCCAGCCCGAGCCCCGACTCAAGGAGGCACGAGGTGCACCGCAGGGGCGCAGGGAGCACCACCAACAGAACACGCGCGCGCGCACAGCTCCGCCCCCTGCACGCCCCACTCACCTGGGCGCGACGGTGCCGCTCCCCGTCAAGACGAGGCCAGGGCGAGGACAGCGTCGGGCGCGGACACGTCGAGAATCTCTGAGATCTGGCGGCTTTGGGCCTCTGAGATCTCTCGAGAATCTCTGAGATCTCTCGAGAATCTCTGAGAATCTCTGATGCCTCGGGCGTCGCGGACTTCTCAGAGCGCTCCGGAACGCTCGGAGAGAGCTCCAGAGAGCACTCCCTGCCACCGCTCGGGCGCCCACTCCCTGTGCACGTCTCGGCTTCGTGCCTATGCTGGTTCGCAAAGAGGAGCCGAGATGCTCCTCGATGGCGGGGAAGAGCGCGTGCATACACCCGAGCGATGCCGAGGCTCTGGAACGGATGTATCCTCGTCCCCGCCCCACCCAGCGCCTTCCCCGAGCGGACGGCGCAGGGGCGCCCGAGGCGGCACGGCACCACATGGCGGGCAGAGGAGGAGCGCTGGGAGCGGAGAGGCGGGAGGGGTGGCGTGGAAACAGGCGGCGGCGGCAGAGGGCAGCTGCAAAGGTCCACCTCGCCCCTCCCCCTCCCCCCTCCGAACAAACGGGGGGGGACGGAGGCACGAACGTCAGGTTCCTATGTGAGCACACCCAGCCCTGCCTGCCTCCCCACGCTCTGCCACCCCCTCCAGCTCCTCCCGCGTTCGAGTGTCACGGCGACCTCGCACTCTGACCCAGCGAGCGCCTCCGCCGCGTAGAAGCATTCCTGCTGGAAGCCTTGGCAATACTGGTCACAGTTGGTAGAGACTCCAGGTGTTACCTGGTGCCTGCACTCTCCGCATACTGCTTTGCCGTCACCGCCAGGCCACTCGTCGAAGCCTTTGCACTGCTTCGGAGGCTCCTGGCATACCAGTGGGGATGAGATAACAGGGGTGCGACTCGAGAACTGATCACACCTCTCTCGGACGCGCTCGAAGGAAGCAAGCCACTGCATGTGCATAGTATGACTTCGCCTGCATCGCAGACCTACATCGTGTCTCGCCCACAGGGCACGATATTCGGCGGTCGGAGAAAATAGGCATTAAAACATACATCGGCGTTCGGCCCGCCGCTGAAATGTGACGTGGTCGAAGCACTTCGATCATTTACTGACGCCTGCTCGCGGGCAGCAAACAATAGGCCACTGCACTCCCGATGTGCAATCAAGGCGCGCTAGGGCAATCCGCACAAGACACCAAGCACAGGGCAACAGGCATATAAGGCAGAAGCCCCAGGGCAACGCAGGGCACCAATCATAGGGCACCAGCCACAGGTCACCATCCCCATGGCATCAAACTGGGGGCACTGTAGGACACGAACCAAAGGGCACCAACCACATATCATCAGCAGCAGGGCACCAGCCGCACGGCACCAACCGTAGGGCACCAGCCACAGGTCACCATCCCCATGGCATCAAACGGGGGGCACTGCAGGACACGAACCAAAGGGCACCAACCACATATCATCAGCAGCAGGGCACCGGCCGCACGGCACCAACCGTAGGGTGCCAACCGCAGGGCACCCACTGTAGGGCACGAGCCACAGGGCACCAACCACAGGGCACCAACCACGCGGGCCCCGGCCGTTGGGCACCGATCAACAGGGCGCCATACGTTATCACAAATCTCACGAGCCCTGTGGGCGTGAGTGGTCTAACGAGCTCGATCTGCCAACGCCCTTCGTCCCCTTCGGGAAGAGGGGTCGCCGTCCCCCTACCCCCCCCTCCCCCCGGGGGTCTGGAGGGGGCGTTCCTCGAGGGGTGGAGCGTCCAAGATGGCCCAAGATGGCTTCAAGAGGGCCCGGAGCCGAAGACGGCCTCCAAGACAGCGCACGATAGCCCAAGATGGCTCAAGATAGCTTCCAGCATGCCTCCAAGAGCCTCGAAAGATCGCCCCAGGACGGCTTCGAGTGCCCTCTGAGCCTTAAGAAGGCCCCCCAGGGGCCAAAATCCTTCCACAGCCTATCAAAAGTCAATGATTGTGCTGTCTCGCAAAGCGCTTCCAATGTGCTCCCAAGCCCTCTGGATGGCTCCGAGAGGGCGCCGAGAGGGGCCCAAGAGGGGCCGCAAGAGGCTATTCTGAGGGCTCCGAAAGGGGGGCGGATATGGAAGTTAGGGGCGTCGACAACAGATGATTGGGCCTCGAGCCTGGCCATCTCGAATCTAGCGAGTGTCGGGTCGATCCGTTCCCCGCACGCGCGCTGAAGTTAATGAGACGGGTGCCCGAGTCTACCTGGCGCTCCTCTGCCACATGTTCAAGATTGTCGCTTAAAACGCACACGAAGGAAGTATGTGACAGGATCTGTAATCACGCCATAATGTATATTCCGTAGTTGACGATGTGCGCGGGGATTCGCATTGCTATGATGAGGGCAAGGCCTGCAATGCCTGTTTGTGAGGCGGTCTTCTGCTGTTGGGGTGTAGAGCGGCCGCTCATGACATTATGCCACGGGTGGAACTCCTGGACGGATGTCCTGAAGGGCATGGTCCACGAATGGTCCCAGTGAGGCCCCCTTGTTATGTTAGCGTCGTCTGCACCACGTTGCATAGAACATACAGCCAGTCCTGATGCCACCCATATGATACCAAATTAAATAATATTAGCGTAATGGGTACATGCCAATGATTATCGGGGTGGTCTGTTCTCTTGGCGTTGCGCTCAGCTGTCAAGTGTCGCACGCGATGTGGCTGCATGTTTCCGCGCAGCGCATTAACGGTTTAGAACTAAATCAGCTGAAGAAAACTCGTTTCCAAGTAGGCCGTAATGGTTGCGCGGATCATAGCGACGTAAAGGCGGCGTGCGTGTGTGTGTATATATATACACACACACAAAAACGCATTGTTTGTGCTGATGTGGGTAGAAGCAGGCGTAGTGGTCGCCGTAGACCCATTGCCGGGCGTATGCCCGTTGCCGAGCACGGACCTCTCGCCGGGCTACCCGCGCCAATTTCTTGGTTGTTCCCCGCATGGATGTCGGCGCATGGTAAGCCATACTGGTCATGCATATTGTTCTGGTGGAAGCAACAGAACCAGCCACACGGGTGTGTAGCCAGTCCAGCTGCCAAGTCGAAAAAATGCCTAGAGACTGAGGCTCGCCATGATGTGTCGATGTAACGGAACGATATACATTTTCCTGCACTCATGTAATGTTCATGCTGACGATTCATATCCTGACCGCGGATGCGCTCGCTCCTGCTTTGCTCACGCTCGCTTTTCTAGCCAACCAGCTCCTTGAGTGATGAGGAAAAGAAGCAGAGGAGAGAGGTGGGGGGACGGGAGAGAAGGGGGGCGGAGCGACGAATGAGGGAGGACGAAGGAAGGAAAAATAGAAGGGAGAGGTGGGGGGAGGGGGGGAAAGAAGGGGGCGGGGGAGGGGGAAGGGGCGAGGGCGGGAGGAGGGAGGCAAGACTGAGGGGGCTGGAGGAGGGAGGTGAACGAGGAATCCGGTGGAGAAGGAGGTTTAAGGGGCCTGGGAGACACAAAGGAATAGCCACAGATCCCGAAATCCCCCCTGTGTTCCCACATTTTCTGAAGTTCCGTCTTCCCCTCAACGTGCCATGTTTTCCCATATGTTCAGGGGAATCGACGTTTGTTTGTGTCTGTGCATTTTTCCCGCCTGGGGTATGGAGAGCAACAGCAGCACCAGCAGAAGCAGGGGCAACGGCAGGAGCTTCACGACCGGGAGCAACTACAGCACATGCCGCGGCGCATTTGGGAGGTTCTACGAGAACGGCGCTCATGCATCGTGCCATGTCTAAACTCCCTTCAGGCCTCGCGCCAACGCGGCACGGTGCATAGCTGTTCGGCTCTGAGGGCCAAAAAACTATGCACCATACCATTCCTGGGTCGAGGATCGACGACGCCTCGGGAAACGCCAACGCGGTAGGCTGCATCCAGGTCGTCCGTGGAGATTCGCTGGGCGCTGCCAGGAGGGAGCAAGAGGGAGGTCAGGAAGCAGGGACGCGAGACGATGGAATAAGAAGGGGGATGAATAACATAATGGACTGGATGTGGGCAGAGCGCGGAGAAATAACGATCGCAGAAGAAGAGGGAGAAGGGAGGGGCTGGTGAGAGAGGACCCGATCAAGCTGAGAACAAAATGTGGTTACCAATAGTACGAGGGAAGGATGGGTGTCACGAGGCAATAGAAACAACGAACTGAGAGGACAATGAACGGAGGCGCTCCACAGGGTCTTTGCATCCACATATCATATCTTGTGAGTTCATTTGCACCGCCAGCATGTCATCCCGGCAACTGAACGTTTTGTCGACGATACACATGCCAGTATCACCGCTGGCACCATTCTTGTCTTCGGCAGCGAAGAAGCACTCTTGTCCGAAGCTTTTGCAGTAGTCCTCGCAAGTCCTCAAATCTGGACTAACCTTCACAAGGTGCCGGCAAACTCCACAGTCCCCAGTGCCATCTTTGTCTGGCCATTCGCCGAAGTCTTTGCAAGTCGTTGTGCTAAGGGTAGGCACTGTCCCTCCAGACGCTGGAGGCGCTGGAGGCGTTACAGGCGTTGCAGGCGTTGCAGGCGTTGCAGGCGTAATAGGCGGAGCCGGCGTAGACGCAATAGTCGTAGCCTGATAGCCCGTTTGGTTTGTTACATATATATATATGTATTAGCCCATGGCCCCCCTGGAGGCCCAAACAATAACAATCATGACAATCATAAAGAATCGTAGTCAAATCCCACTTGCTCCCACCTGTTCGCTTTCCTCCCTCCTGCTCCCTCAATTCTCCTCACTCCTACATATTTCCCACTGTTCTGTCGTTACGCAAACCTGGATCGGCAGGGATCGTAGCGTCTGCGTGTCCCTCCTCCTTCTCCTCCTCCTCCTCCTCCTCCTCCTCCTCCTCCTCCTCCTCTTCCTCCTCCTCCTCCTCCTCCTCTCTATCTGGGGAGACCCAAAGGTAACAATACTGCTACTCTCTGGACCTCTCCCGGGGTGCGTTCTGACCAGAACTTCGAGGCGAATCCGGCGAATCCTCCCGGGAAGCCCAAGAATGGGAAACCTAGAGAAGGGTGGCGGTATGGGTACCGTTTCGTCCTCTGATTTTCTAGGCCTTCAAGGGTCACACTCGTCGACACGGCTGGACGCGGCTCGGAGGGGGGGCCAGGACAGCGTGCGAGAGGGGTGTGCGGGCCAATCTGGAGCGGGGTCTGGCCTTAGGGACCAGCAGGCAATCACACGGGCCCTACGCTTTTTGCAGCAGAGAGCGCAGAAGGACATGCCAGTACTGTGCGCCCCCCTCGGAGGCGCCGAAATAGATACAATCATCGTGCTACCATCAGGAGCACATGACAAAGAACGAAGGAGCTTTTCTAGGCCACGGCGGGCCTAAGGCCACAAACAGGTTCCACGACATGAGTCTGCGGAACGGCCCGAAAACCCAAGCCCATCCTGACTTTGGGGCCTTACTTCAGCCTCTTGACTGTATGTTTGGGCGATGCCGACAAGAGGAGGGATGAGATCACCCTCGCGGGCGACACGAAAACGAATCAAAGACCGGGAGAAAACCGTACCGCGGCAAGTCGGGGATCTCTGAGATCTGGCAACTCTGGAAAACGCATCGGGCGCCGAGGCCGTTCCGAAACGCTCCAGAACGCTCTGAGAGCTTGCCGAAACGCTCTGGAACGGTTTATCTCTGTAGTATGTCCTAGCCTTGCCCGAGAAGAATCAAGAGGTCGCCAGGCAAACCGGGAACACCGCACAAGCCGACCTGCAATAGGCAAACTGATGCTATGAATCGCGGCCTGAACCACAAATCAACAATAAGGTTGCGACAGGATGGAGGAGGGAGGAGGGCGAAAGAGGGGGAGAGGGAGGAGGAGGGAGAACGGGGTAGGGCGCAGCGTGAAACATGGAGAAGAGCGGCCCGCCCGAGAGACTGCCAAGGCTGCCTGCGAGCGTGGTCAAAGATGCATCGTGGGATCCACGGACCTCTACTGGTGGTATGCTCTAGCCAGAGCGCCGACGGGCAGGCGCGGCGGCGAGACGCCTCCAGGGGGCCCAACAGGGCGGCAGAAAGAGTTAACCTCGAGCCTCCAGCCTCTGCCGAAATCCGCTCCGGACCAGTCCCCAGACCGAGTAATTTCAAGGAGGCAGCGGAGGCGACAAACGACCCGCGGGTCATGATGATCGTATTGGCCCCTCAGAAGGACCGCTCCATCAGCTCGTGTGTGGCTGGCCACCTTCCCATGTCAAGGAGGGACGGGGTCAGACGGGCACACCACTTGCGCAAGCCCGTTCGTCCTCCTCCTCCTCCTCCTCCTCCTCCTCGTCCTCCTCCTCCTCCTCCTCCTCCTCCTCCTCCTCCTCCTCCTCCTCCTCTGGTGCCGCATCCTGGTGCCAGAGCCGCCTAACGCGAAGGGCACACTGTCACTTGGAGTCGACACATGGGCGTTGGGGACAAGCAGGCGGCCGTTTTCTTGCCGTGATGGAGCGTTCGACTCCCTCACAGCAAGGGTTCCATTCACAAAAGAGGCATACATTTGCCCTCCTGGATCCGCGTAGCTGGCCCGCAGTATTAGGTTCGGTGCAGCCAGGTACGCAGAACAAGGACCCGTATCGTCTCCAGAGGTGGGTGCTTCGTTCACCCCAGCACCACTGGAAGCAGTACACCACCTCGGGGTAGATGGCCGCAAGTGGGCTGACGTCGAGCTCTTGTCCCCTCCCAGCGCACCTGTTCGTCTTGGTGCACACTCCGGGGGCTAGCGTTGTCGTTCGCACATGCTCCTACATGCTCCTCTTACTTCTTATCTGACTTCTGAGAAGGTTCCAATCAGGGCCTCCGAAAAAGGGAGGCCAAATCCTCAGAGCCTTGGCTGCGGAGGAGGTTCCAATGACGGCCTCCGACAAAGAGAGGAACAATTCTCAGCCCCGCCTCCTTCTGAGAAGATGTGTTGCAGCTACCGACGGAAGTTCCATCCCACCGCCAGCAGCACCACAGGAGGCGACCCGGAGGACTCAGACTCCGGCAGGCCAAGCCTGCAAGTCTGGGGGAGCTTCCCCGTTGAGAGACGGGAGACCACTCTCTTCCCATGGGCCGTAAGGCCTGGGCACGCACTGCTTGCCCAACGTCAGGACCTTCCGTCGAGCAGGGGCCCCCACCCCTCCGCACAGACTTGGCACCAGACCACACCACGGCAGGAGCGGCGCCTGTGGGAAGAGCACACCTGCGAGGGGGTCCCAGGGGCGAAACGAGCGGAGAAAGGTCTCGGGATCCAGACAGCGCCACGCCCCAGAGGAGGGTCGTTCAACTCTGTGGGGCGAGACCCTCCGTTGGCCCACGCTGAAGACCATTCGAGGGTACCTCCCCCAGGATGCACAATACCACCTAATAAACACAAAGAACATCAAGAGGCACTCCCCGAGTCGACCTCGACCGTATGCGTCGGTCCGGCCGTATACCCTCCCGTTTCAAACTTCCTCGTTAGTCCGAAAAGCTGCTCCCCTCCATTGCAGGAGGCGCTCTCATTGGGCCGGCTCCCCGCCAGCGACCCCGTCTGCTTCGGCGGCGCGCAGTGGGGAGTAGGGGGAGGGGGGAAGGCGTCTCAGAAGGAGGCTGCTTCTAGAAAGGCTTCCCCCCTCCGCCTGCCCCCTCTGCGCGTGGCTGATCTGACACCGCGTGGATCGTCCATTCTTGAACGAGCTCGGCTGTCGGATTGCGCCAATCGCTCGATACCGGCCGATTCCAGGCCATCAGGGGCGTTCAACCCTGAAAGTCCGCGCTGGGGTCGCCGCCGCGTGAACACGGCGCGAACCTGCTGCACTCTTGCACAGTACCCCCAGGCCCCCAAACCCCCCAAACCGGCCACCAGACTCCCCGCATCCCCCTCTGCGCGCGCCTGGCTGCTGGCGGAGCACGGCAGTTGGCTAGGGCTCCCAACTTCGCGCTTCGCGCTCCGCGAAGCGCGAAGCGCGAATAACTTCGCGCTCTCGCGCCGCCCCCCCGAAGGGAGAAAAGGAGGACGAGGAGGAGGGGGAGGAGAAACGAGGACCGCGAAGCGCGAAGCGCGAATAACTTCGCGCCCTCGGGGGAGCCCTTGGTTGGGCGCAGCACGCGCAGCCGCCCCCGTGCGCGCCGCCCGTGGGCGGCGGCCGACGCGCTCTTCGGGGGCGTCCACGAGGGAACGTCCGAGGGCGGGGCTCACGACTCACGGCCCGAGGCACGCGCGCGGACGGGACCCCGGGACCCTCAACAAAACGACCCTGGAGGAAAAACCGGTCCCAAGGAAGAGGTCCAGACCTCTGTGGAGCCGCGTTGAAGAAATCACGACGCCGGACGTATGGGGAGGCGGCACCATCTGCGCCTCATCGGGGTGGCAGTGCACCCGGACACCACGGAGGAAACTCAGGCCAACCAGGTGCACAAGGCCCAAGTGATCAACCAGGTTGTGCCGCAGTGCGCGGGCAAGAAATCGTGAATGAGATCAAGGACGAGCAGGACGTGGAGAAAGCCATCGAGGTGGAGATCGGTTTCTTTCTCGGGGGTTGATGTGAAGAACGCGACCACAAAACTTCGCCTGGCTCGGCCTCGACCGCTGTGCGACTCAAAACGCCGCCAGGCAAACCGGGAACACCACAATAGCCGACATGGTGTAGGCAAACGCACGCAATGAACCGTGGCCTGAGAGGGGAACGAGCGCGCGGCATGCGCGAAGAAAAGACAAGCGAGGAGGAGAAAAGGGATGCATTTGGTAGGGCGGACACGGCGGGCGAAAAGCGAGGCTCGCCGCGGCCACGCGCCCCGCCCACGCGGTAGGCCGCAGCGCGCAACATGGAGAAAGCTGGGCACCGACGGCGGGTCGAACAAAAACAATTCACTCAAAGACGACGGCGCGCGACGTCGAAAAAGCGCGAGGCCCGAACGCCGTGAAATCGACAGTGCACGACCGTGGCGGCGGCGACTAACAGTGGCATTCTCAATGATAGGGGAGACACGAAAGAAAGGGGAGGAAAGGGGATAGAGGAAGGAACGGGAGAGACCCGGCGCGCAATGCACCCCAACTGGAAGACACAACCAGTCGGCGCCACACCGGTGACGCAGGCGCGAGGTCCGACGCGAAGGCAAGGCACGTAACAAAGACAAAATGAACCACGCGCAAGGGGCTATCCCTGGGCGGCGATCTGGCCCAAGTGCCAGGGCCCCGCAGCCGCGGAATGGAGGCATCGGATGGGCTCCGCGCACCAGGGGGATGGCCCGCGATGCACGCGCGTCAGCACATATTAAAAACAACGCGAAAACAAGCGTGCGCAGGGCAACCATGGAAGGCGAGCTGGCCCATGCGTCACGGCCCCGCAGCCGCGGAGTGAAGGCGCAGGCCGAGCCCATGCACCAGGGGGGACAGCTGCTGGTTCAATGCAAAGAGCCCGCGCAATCTTACAATAAAATGTAAGACTTACTACGCGCGCCCGTCCGACGCTGTACGGGACCTGGCTGTTGCAGGTGTGCCGAGGCGCTGGTCACCAATGGCGCGGCGCCCTGGAACTGAACATGCGGCGGTTCTAAAGGCGGCCAGCACGCCTCTCGGGGGTGGTATCGATGGTCTGCCTGCCGCCCTCCCTGGCGTGCACCAATTTGGCGAGCTTGGAGCCCATCGTTTTGGAGACCACCACATCCTTGCCCTCCCGCAGCGCCAGCTGAAGACATACACATAGGACTCGTCGGGGTTCACGGTCCTCCGACCACGGTCTCGCTGAGGCCCCACATCAAAATGACAAAGACGAGAGCTTGGAACCCGGAATCGGCGTCGAGCGCGAACATCACGCCAGCGGGAGGCCGCCTCGCTGCAGACCATCTTCTGGACGCAGGCGCACACCTGGACAGTGCGGTGGTCGAAGCCGTTGTCGTGGCGGTAGGAGACGGCGCGATCTGTGAAGAGGGAGGCGCAGCTCTGGTGCGCTTTCTCCTTCGAATTCTCGTACCTGGACACGTCAGGGTACGGTTCCTGCTGGCCAGCGAAGGACGCGTCGGGAGGTCCTCCGCGGTGGCCGAAGAGCGCGCGGCGACCTGTAAACCCTCGTTTGCCTGGGAGAGACTCGCTTCCACAGCCACTTCAGCACGTCCTCGAACTCGGCCTGCAGGGGCAGGTCCATGATCATCTGGCGCACCTTCTTGCTCACCTCCTGCAGCTTGGTCGCGTCGGTGTAGATGCCCTCGTCCTCGAAGGCCCCGTTGATCCTTTCGCCTGGGCCTCCCTGCTGGAGGAAGTCCCTGTACGCCTGGGCCGCCCTGGAGAAGTCCCTTGGCACGGGGCACCCACGTCCGCGAGCACCCCGATCATCTCGCCCAGGGACGCGCTCTTGCCGCCCACCTTCGGCACGTCGCCGTTGCGGAGCTCCTCCAGGGGGATGCACGGCCGCAGGTCGGCCTCCCCGCCCCGAGCGCACGCCACGGCCCAGACCCCGCGGGCGCCCGCGGACTTCTGCGGGCGCCTGGACCGCCGCAGACCCAGCGCCGCTGCGCCGCGGCCGGCCCGATAGCGCCGGGGCCCACCGCGGCACCCGCGGAGGGGGCTCCACGCCAGCGGGCTCTCGTCGGCCGCGGGCCTCCGCCGCCGGCGCAAGAGAGCGCCCAGCGGCCGCCGGCTGCGGGGCCGCGCAGGATCGCCAAGACTGCCCCGAGACGGCCCAGATGGACCCCCCATGTCAGAGCCCCGAATCATCAGGGGTAACTCGGGTCAGGGTTCACTCGGGTCAGGGATTTTCGGGAATCCAAACCCGAGTTACCCCGGACCCGAGTTACCCCGGATAACTCGGGCGCCCAACCATGGGAGCGCCTGAAAGAATGAATCCCACTAGCCCTCTGGGCGCAAGTGGCTGAGGGCGTTGCCTCTTCCAACTCTCCCTCTTCCCCTTCGGGGAGGAGTTCATCGCTGCTCCCCCCCCTCCACCACCCGACCGGAGGAGACAAATCAAGGCAATGCCGAACCCCCGTCAACCCCCCCTGCCATCCCTGTCAAAAAACAATGCGAAAGTACACAGGGCGGCGAAGTCTGGACTGTGTGCGGGCGCCCTGCGATCACTGTGCATTGTTTGTTGACAGGAATAGCGGAGATACCATCACATTGTCGGCTAAGTGCAGGCCCACCATCCCTGTCAAAAAACGATGCAAAGTGCACTCTGCGTCAAAACCCTGGGTCGCGTTCGAGCTCCCCGCGAAAACGTTGTATTGTTTTGGACAAAGACGGCGGGCGAGGGCCGCATATTGCTTGCTGTTGTGTGCATACCACGACCAATGCTAACACCCCCCACATCCTCCGTGGCAAAAGAACGGTTCAAAGTGCACTTTGCGGCAAAACCTTGGACCATGCGCGGGAGCACTGCGATCACTGTGAATTGCTGGCTGGCAAGGATGGCAAGGATGCCCGCATATTGTCTGGTGCGCGTGGATCGACCACCCTTGTCAAAGGCCAATGCAGAGCCACTCCTGGTGAAGACACAGTCCTTCATGCCGGCCACCCCGCCGCACGCTTTGCGCACGCCGCGCTCGTGCCACACCTGGCGCGGGTGGAGCACGTGGCGCACCCGGCGCATGTGGAGCCCGCGGCGAGTCGCGCACCTGGCGTCTGTTTTAGCTCCCAGCGGCTGCACATCCAACGGCGACCCCCAGCAATGCCGAGACCCGGGTGCTACTTCTGTGGTGGGAGGGCGGGTGGGAGTGAGCGAGACGGCTTGCGAGAGCGGAGGGATAGCTTGACCCCTTCCCTCCCCCTACCCCCTCCGCCTGGGTCTGGAGGGGGGAGGGTCGCGACCCATTGGAGCGTCCAAGACGCCCTCGGCGAGAAGGCAAAAATCACTGATGTTACTTAGGTTTTAAGCCCATTTGGGCCTCCTTGGGAGATGGGGGGGGGCGCTAATATGGACCCCCCCCCCTTCTTTGATCGAACTCCTCCACGATGGCCCGAAGGTGGCCCCCAAGGCTCCCAAGAGCGCCCAAAAAAAAACCCAAAGGGCACCCAGGAGGCACCAGGAGGCCCCTAAGGGGTCCCCAAGAGGCTCCTGAGGCACTCCCAAGAAGACCCGGGAGGCTCCCCCGAAGCACCTCAGACGCTCCAAGAGCCCCCCAGAACCGCCAAGAGGCCCCCCCAAGACGCGCCAAGAGGACCCCAGGAAACTTTCGGGAGACATCCGAAGAGAATCCGAGAGGCATCCAAAGAGGCCTGTGGCCATTGTGCCCGCTCTCCTCCTCCTCCTCCTCCTCCTCCTCCTCCTCCTCCTCCTCCTCCTCCTCCTCTCCCTCCTCCCTCACTTCCCTCCTCCCTCCCTCCACCCCTCCTCCTCCTCCTCCTCCTCCTCTCCTCCTCCTCCTCCTCCTCCTCCTCCTCCTCCTCCTCCTCCTCCTCCTCCTTCTCCTCCTCCTCCTCCTCCATTCCTTTTCCTTATAAATAACTTCTCCCTGTCGCACCCCGAGGCAAGATTTTAGGGCGGTCCGGGCGTTTCGCCTGAGACTTCCTCACTATTGATGACCCTGAAGCTTAAACATTGATAACAGTTTCACAAATGGAGGGCGGGTCGTGTTCAAAATGTGGCTCTCGCCTTAGCGCCACGCACATCCGTTTTTTTTTAACATTTGCAAGCGTTTCACGGATTGAGGGCAGCTCCTTTTCAAAATGTGGCTCTCGCCTTAGCGACGCGAAAATTCGTTTCTGAAACTAGGAAGAGTTTCATTCCCATGATCAGCGTACAAAAAATGGCGTGTTGGAAGGATTCAGGATTTTGAGGGTGCAACATGTACGTTTATTCGCGGTGTTGAAGTCCCAGGAATGGCGTTCTGGCACGATTCAGGATCGTCAAAACGCAACTGTCAGGTTAATCCGTGGCGTTGGAATCCCGAGAACAATGTGTTGGCATGCGTTAGGGTCTTCAAACGTTTTTTTTTCGAACGAGGCAGTTCCCTCGGTGGAAATGAACCCTTGTATTGGGCCAATGAAGAGGGAACTTGGAGGGAGGTCATACTCCAACATTGTTGATGACTCTTGGGTTTACACTGGTCCTCCTCCTCCTTCTCCTCCTCCTCCTCCTCCTCCTCCTCCTCCTGCTCCTCCTCCTATTCCGAAGTAGACGACGATGACGACGACGACCGACGACGATGACGATGATTCTCTCCATCTTGGGCTGCTACGACTTCCCCGGTCCGTTTCCACTGCATGTTGCTACACATCCCTCTTCGGGGCTACTCGCCTGGGCATCGTTTGTGGGTGGGCTGGCGGGGTTGCACGAAAAGTTTAGAATGAGAAGGCGAGGTATCACATGTGACGGCCTTGGGTGCTCGAAACGTCGCCACGCAGACACAGAGTGATGCGCTGGCACGGTGGCGGGACTTGCCAAAAGCAGCTGGATCCGCCGCCCCCTGTTGATTCATCACAGGGGTGCCTGGCGTGCTGAACTTCTGATGGTTTTGGTTTTGGTTCTTTTCCAAAAGAACTCTCCCAGTGGGCTCCGGCGCGTCCCGCCGGGGTCCCGGGAGGATGCCGCAAAATCTTCCAGAGGTGGTTACAAAGGGTTTTTCCGTTCCAGACGGCTCCAAGATGGCCCAAGATGGCCTCCAGGATGCCTCCAAGACGGCCAAGATGCCCTCCGAGACGGCTAAGATGGCCCCAGGATGCCTCCAAGACGGTCCAAGAGGCACCCGAGACGGCCTAAGATAGCCTCAAGATGGCCCAAGACGGCCCAAGAGGCCCTCAAGAGGCCTCCAAGACGGCCCAAGAGGCCTCCAAGAGGTCCTCCAGGAAGCTCGAAGAGGCCAAAATCGTTGATTTCCGCTTGGTTTTTGAAAGATTTTGGCATTCGCGCCTTTTCGGCTTTCTGACGGCCCAAGACGGCCCAAGAGGCCCGCAAGATCGCCCAAGAGGCCTCCAAGATGGCCCCATGACCGCCCAAGAGGCTCCCACGACGGCCCCAAGAGGGCCCCAAGACGGCCCAAGAGGCCTCCAAGACGCCCACGATGGCCTCCAAGACGCCCAAGATGGCCTCCAAGACGGCCCCGAAGCGCCCCAAGAGGGCCCCAAGTCGGCCCAGAAAGGCCAAGATGGCCGAAGTTGGCTCGAAGCTGGCCCAAAACGGCCCAAGAGGCCCCCAAGAGGGCCTCCAGGAAGGCCAGAAAAGGCCAAAATCATTGATTTCCCATGGGTTTTTGAAGGATTGTAGCATTTGCTGTTTGTTCGGCCTTCCAACGGCCCGAGACGGCCCAAGAGCCCCCAAAGATCGCCGAAAGATCGCCCAAGAGGCCTCCAAGATGGCCCCAGAACGGCCCAAGAGGGCCCCAAGACGGCCCCAAGAGGCCCCCAAGACGGCACAGGAGGCCTTTAAGACGCCCAAGATGGCCTCCAAGACGGCCCTGGAGCATTCCAAGAGGGCCCCAAGTCGGCCCAGAGAGGCCCCCCAAACGACTTCCGACGGCGTCAGACGGACCAGGAGCCCACCAAGACGGCCGAACATGGCCCTAAGATGGCCCAAGACAGCCCAAGAGGCCTCCAAGAGGGCCTCCAGGAATGCCCGAAAAGGCCAAAATCATTGATTTCCCATGGGATTTTGAAGGATTGTAGCATTTGCTGTTTGTTCGGCCTTCCGACGGCCCGAGACGGCCCAAGTGCCCCCAAAGATCGCCCAAGAGGCCCAAGACACGGCCCCAAGAGGCCCCCAAGACGGCCCAAGAGGTCTCCAAGACGCTCAAGATGGCCTCCAAGACGGCCAAAGAGCCCTCCAAGACGTTCTCCAAGAAGACCCGAAAGGGTCAAAATGGTCTCCAGACGGCCAAGATGACCTTCAAGATGCCCACGTGTTCCCCGAAGGCTTTCCAAACCGATTCGGGGAACACATGGTCCGATAGCTAGCTTGGCAGGTCTGGCCTCAACGTTCGGCCACATGGGCGCTTCCAAAAAGGCAGGGAGCGGCGGTGATTCGCCGTAGGCGTCTTCGATGACAGATCCCTCCCGGATGGCTATGGCAAGCTGGACACGGGCAGTGCAGAACAAGGTGGTGGTTAATAAAAATCACGCGGTGCTTTTACGATGTAGCGCAATCAAGGAGCGTGAAAGGAGCAAGAAGCGACAGCGAGACCGGCGGGTTCGCACATCCACAGATCATATCTTTGGTATTCGGAAACCCAGATTGGTCGTCGCTGCAAAGTACCTCCACCTTGATCGCGCACCCGTCCGCATGGACCGTGGGGTCCGCGCCCACCTTGTCCTGCGCGGCGTAGAAGCAGACCTGCCCGAAGCTGGCGCAGTACGAGTCGCACGAATTGTAGTTGTCCATTGTTACCAGATGCTTGCAATCACCTGGCCGCGCACCAGTTTGGGGGAAAGTCTAGCGGGGGGGCCTTCCTGTCCATTACTGCCCCCCTCTCGGAGGTTCCGATGGAGGACTTCTCAAGGGCAAGAAGGCCACTCTGAGACGAATTCGCACGCCCGACATGTGTACAGAAAAATTGTACGATGCCCAACTGCACATGTTGTGAAAATCCGGCAGCGGTCGCTGTTGAGCACGCGATTTCTGCCTCGAATGGACAACGTCCATGGCGACACTGACAACGAATTCCGGTTCAAAATGGACAAGAACTACTGTCCGCCTTCGTTTCCACTACCCGTTCCAGTCGTACCGAACGAAGAGAGAATGAGGACAAATTTGGATGATCGGGAGACTCTCCATGGGGGGGGATCCCATGGGGGGGGAGGAGGGGATCCCCCCCATGGGATCCCCTCCTGCCCCCCCATGGGATCCCCAGGGGATCCTACGGGATCCTCCCCCCTGGGATCCTATCCCCCCATGGGATCCCCCCCCCATGAAGAGTCTCCCGAGATGAGGCCACGTCGGGAATCTCTGAGAGCCGGATCGCTTGGAGAATGTCTCGGGCGCCCCGGCCGTCCCAGAGCGCTCCAGAGCTCTCTGAGAGCGCCCCTGGGAACGCTCTGGAGCGACGTGTCCTCATCCTGGGCCTACGGCGGGTTCGTGTCGTGCCGACCCCAGTGTTGGTTTTTGACACCGCAGGGATCGTTCAACCTTGAACGATCGGCCGTCTCCGCAACGTCCAATCGTTCAACATCGATCGATTCTGGGTCGCCGGCGGCGTTCAACCTTGAACGCCCACGCTGGGGTCGCCGCCGGTCGACACGACACGAACCTACCGTACCTGGATCTGAGACGCGGGGCGTCCTGGGAAGGCCGCCCCCCTCGCCCTCGGCCTCCGACGGGATGCCCTCAAGACCGGCTCGTGGACTTCTCTTGGGGTTCCCCCACGGCTGGTCTTGCGCGGGCCGCCCCCGGCCGCGGCCATCGCCGGCCCCACGGGGAGGCCCGGTAGGTGCGAGGAGCGTCAAACTCCTGGAGGTCGAATCACTCTCTGCACAGGTGGAATCGGGGCGAGGCAGTCTTTGGGGCAGGAAGAAACTTCAAGTTGATCGGGAACAGGGGGACACCGAGGACTAGGTCGTAGGAACCTGTAGGCTCCCTGCTCAGTCAAGAACCTCAAATCCTGGGCCGAGCCTCAGTGCAATCTTGCTGCTCCCCGCACTCCTCCCCTTCTCCTACCTTTTCCTCCTCCTCCTCCTCATTCTCCTCCTCCTCGTCCTTCATCCCCTTTCCTGACACTAGCTCCTCCATGTCGGTTCTCGCCCTAGCGCCGCGCACACTCGTCGCACAAGTTCTTCAACAACTTCGCAGATGGAGGGTGGTTCCTTTCCAAAATGTGGCTCTCGCCTGAGAGCCGCGCACATTCGCCGTACGAGTTCGCAACAGTTCGAAGGACTAAAACGATTGAAGTCCTGGGAATGATATACTGGTGTTCTGGCGCGAGTTAGTACTGTCAGGGCACAAAATTCATGAGGATGAACTGCAGTGAAGATCTAGGCACTGCGTTATGACACGATTTAGGATTTTCAGGACGCTACATACACTTCAATCCGCGGCGATGACATCCCAGGGAAAGAGTTTCGTCACGATTGAGAAATATCACGCGGCTGTCTTCCAGTAGGGGCAATTCCAGCCATGATATTGAACTCTGGTAGGGCCATGCGAAAAACTTGTAAGGAGAAATAATTGTGACATCGTTGATGCGTCTTTGGTTTACACGGGTCCTCCTCCTCCTCCTCCTCCTCCTCCTCCTCCTCCTCCTCCTCCTCCTCCTCCTCCTCCTCCTCCTCTTTCTCCTCCGCATCATCATCATCATCATCATCATCATCATCATCATCATCATCATCAGCATCATCATCATAGTCATAATCATAATCAGCATCATCATCACCATCATCATCATCATCATCATCATCATCATCATCACCATCACCATCACCATCACCATCACCATCATCATCATCATCATCATCATCATCATCATCATCATCATCATCATAATCAGCATCATCATCACAATCACAACATCATCATCATCATCATCATCATCATCATCATCAGCATCATCATCATCATCATCAGCAGCATCAGCATCATCATCATCATCCACCTCCGCACTCCGCTTCCTCATTTTCCTCCACCTCAGCATCCCTGCCCCATCCTCCTCCTCGTCACCTCCGCCTCCGTTTCCTCCTCCTCCTCCTCCCCCATTCCATTTCCTTATAGAGAACGGGCGAAAGGGCGGGCCGGGCGATTCGCCTGAAACTTCCATCCCAACGTACGGTCCTGAAGCGCACCAATTGGTTACAATTTCACGGATGAAAGGCGGGCGCAGCGCCGAGCACGTTAATCTTAGAATACTGCAAGAGTTCCACGAATCGTTTTCAAAATTCGGTTGTCGCCTGAGTGCCGCGCACAGTGGTCGCAAACATTTGCAAGAGTTTCACGAATTGAGGTGGGTGGTTTTCACAAGTGGCTCTCACCTTAGCGCCGCGCACATTCGTCGTGAAAATGTGTCAGAGCTTCACGGATTGACGGCGGGTGGTTTTCACAATGTGGTTCCCACTTTAGCGCCGCGCACATTCGTCGTGAAAAAAATGCACGAGTTTCGCAGAATGAGGGCGGGCCGTTTTCAACATGTAGCTCTCGCCTTAGCGCCGCGCACAATTCGTGTTCAACATGTGCCAGGGCTTCACGCCTTGAGGGCGATACCTTTTCAAAATGTGGTTCTCGCCATAGCGCCGCGCACATTCGTTCCCCAATCAACACTTGCACTACACGGGTCCTCGCGGAGGTTTAAAGATTTGGCGAAAATTCCAAGCCGATTTCTGTGGGCGGCTGGGTTCCCAGGTCCCTAGATTCGGGTTCCCTGGTTCCCGGTTGCTGGTTCGGGGCCGATTTCGGTGGGCGGCCGGGTTCTCAGGTTCCCGGGTTCACGGGTTCCTGGTCGATTTCATTATCGATCGGTCCCACCATCGATCTCATTACCCATCTCTCTATCGATCTCACTGTCGATGTCATTATCGATCTTACAGCCGATCTCGCTATCGATTCCACTATAGATCGCACGAGCGACCTCCCGATCCATCTCACTATCGATCTCACTGAATCGAGTTCACGGTCGGTCTCAAGATCGATTGTACTATCGTCCTCACGATCGATCCCACTATCGATTTCACGATCGGTCTCACAATCGATCTCAACAGGCATGTCACGTGCGACCTCAGTAAGGAGCCCAGTATCGATCTCACAATTGAAAAATTTGGCGCGAAATCGCCTCCGATTTCGGTCGGCGGCCGGTGTTCTGGGATCCCGAATCTGGGTTCTGGGTTCCCGTTTTGGGGTTCTGGATTGGTCTTAGCGAAAGCGCGCCGCCGATTTCGGTAGGCGGCCAGGTTCCCAATTTCCTGGCTCTGGATTCCGAATTCCCGTCTCCGGGTCCCAGGTTGGTTTCGGTGGGCGGCTGGGTTCCCGGTTCTTGGTTCCAGAATCCCCGTTCCGAATTCCGAGTTGGTTTCGGTGGGCGGTTGGGTTTCAGGGTTCCTGGCTCATGGTACCAGGATTTGCCATATAATATATGTATATTTATTCCTTAAAAATGAGAAGAAGGATGGAGTACGGAGCGGGAGTGTATATTTACACATGTGTGTGTATTGATATGTGCGTCTAGCATTTACTCACATTGGCACACACGCACGCACGCACGCACGCACGCACGCACACACACGCACACACACACACACACACACACACACAGATCAACCGATTCACTGCTTGGGGTTGCTGTTTAATGTAACTGTCAGAACTCGCAAGAGTGCTACTTGCTCCCCATCGCTAACGTACCAAAAACGGCGCTGTGGAACGATTTAGGATTGTCAAAGCGCATCAGGTACGTTGGTTCGCAGAGACCCAAGAATGGCTTTCTGGTGCTTGTGAATGACGGTGTCTTAACGATGACTGTGATTCGCGGTGCTAGAATTCCGCGAGTGGTGTCTGACACGCTTCAGGATATTCAAACGATTGTCTCCCAACGGGGCACCTCGCTCAGTGGGAACGAATCCTTGTGTGGAGGCCGGCGAAGAGGAACTGTGGAGGCAAGGTTGATGTCATTGGCTTTGCTTTGGTCTTCTTCCTTTGCTTTGCTTCGCTTTGCTTTGCGTTGGTCTTCTTCCTCCTCCTCCTCCTCCTCCTCCTCCCCTCCTCCGCCTCCTCCTCCTCCTCCTCCTCCGCCTCCCCCTTTTCCTCCTCTTCTCCTCCTCCTCCTCCTCCTCCTCCTCCTCCTCCTCCTCCTCCTCCTCCTCCTCCTCCTCCTCCTCCTCCTCCTCCTCCTCCTCCTCCTCCTCATCCTCCTCTCCCCAACGCCCCCTCATCCCTTCCCGTCACGCAGGCGGCAGCAAGTCTCCCCCGCGCGGCCGACGCCCGCTGCAATCCCCCACCTTCCCTCAAACGGGATGGTTCCCCCGAAAGCGACGTGCAGAAGGCGGCCGCTCCCAGGAGGGGGTGCGCCAGCCAGAGCCATTGGTCTGGGCATGCCCGGGAGCGCCGCGGGGACCCGCGGGGACCCGCGCGACCCGGGCCCGGCGCCCCAGGCCGCCAGCCCGCGCCGCCGCCCCCCCCGGCGCTTCCCCCAGCAGCGGCGCCGGGCAGCCCCCTCGACCGCGCCCGGCCCTGGCGCCCCCTGCGCCGCGGTCGGCGCACGCCACGCGGAGCGCCGCCGCCGACCGCCGCCGGACAGCCCAGCCCGGCGCCCGCAGTCCCCCGCGCGCCGCCGTCGGCCGGCAGGCGCCAGTCCAACCAGCCGCGGCCGCCCGCCGCCCCAGCTGCGCCCGCTCCCCCGGCTTCCCAGGGATGCCGCGCCGCCGCGTCGCGATGCCAGCTCCGCCTGGCGGCCGCGCCCAGCTGCCGCGTGGCGCCCGCAGCCCGGCTGGCGCGCCAGCCCCACTCGCTGCGCCGAGCGCCCGCGGCTGGCCGGGTCAGCGCCGCCCGCCCACCGCGGCGCAGCCCCGTTCCCGGCGCGGCCCGGCGCTGCAGGAGGGCCGCCCGTCTCCGGTCAGCCGCCCAGCGCGCGGCCCCGCCCTGCGCCCGCCTTGCCCGCGGTCGCTGGCCGCGCCCGCGCCGCCGGGGACCCCGCGTCGTCCGGCGCCCGAGCCTGGGCCGCTCAGCCGGGCATGGGCCGCGCCGCCCAGGCCTCGGCGCTCAGTCTGACGCGTCGGTCGGGCGGGCCGGGGCCGCAGGGGCCCGCCGCCGCGCCGCGCTCGCAAGGCGGCGCCGCGGCGGGCCTTCGCGCTGCCGCCCCGCAGCGCGGCGCCCTAGCTCTGCCGCGCCGCCGCGCGTCGCGGGGTGGCCCGCCGCCCAGCTCCTTGGGCGGCGCCTGCGCCTCCTTCCCAGCTCGCCCCCGCGCTTCCACAGCAAAGGCGATCAGGGCAGGGCATGGGTAGCGCCAGTGCTCGTGGGCCTCCCCCTCCGCCGCCGCGTCGGCGCAGGTGAACCCCAGTGACCGGGTCGGCAAAGGCCACGTCCAGCCGCGCGGCATCGAGAGACTGCCTCTGTCGCCGTCGCCCAGGTCTGGCGGCAGTCCGCGGCGAAAGTCTCGAGGTTCGGCAGTCCACGCTCGCGGCGCACCTCGGCCAGGCAGGCCAGCCAGGAGCCCACGAAGGCAGGCAGGCGGCGCGCCCCGAGGCTGTGCAAGCCCAGCCCCCCGTCTGCCAGGGGAAGGCAGGTCTGCTCGCGCGCCGCCGCGGTCAGAGGTTGCCCCATCACGGCCTGCAGATGCCCCAGGACCCGAACGTCGTAGTCGGCGCACCAGGCCTCGCTGAGCAAGTGCGCGCGCGCGGTGCCGGGCAATTCCGGTCGCAAAGGTGCGAAGGAGAATCAGCTCGACCTGCGCCCTGAAGACGTGCTCCTCCTCCTCCTCCTCCTCCTCCTCCTCCTCCTCCTCCTCCTCCTCCCTCCTCCTCCTCCTCCTCCTCCTCCTCCTCCTCCTCCTCCTCCTCCTCCTCCTCCTCCTCCTCCTCCTCCTCCTCCTCCTCCTCCTCCTCCTCCCTGTATTCCTCCTCCTCCTCCTCCTCCTCCTCCCAACTCCCAACTCCCAACTCCCTGAGGAGGGCAACTACAGGTGCAAAATCGTAGGTGAGAAAGGCAATACATGTAATGCAGTATGGCATGATCGCAAAGTGTTGTTAAATCGCATGCGCGCACATCATCATGTAAGAAACCTCCCTGCTGTTCTAACACCTTGCAATACATGTATACACTCTGGGCGAATATTCTCTCATCAAGCGTATTCGCTGCTCGACATCTCCTTGGGTCTGTTCTCCGAGGCAACGGTTCGACGAGGGAATCCACATCAGTGATGGCACTCATCTTCCCAGGTATATACGCATGACTGTCCCGTGTGTGACCACAGAGGTGCGAATTTGGATCATGTCTGCTGCCGTTTACGTTCACATCTCTCTTGGAAACTTCCACTATATCGACCGAAACCTTCTCCGTGCGAGAGACCATGCCGGAGCTGAAGATGCCGTCGTGGTTCAACCCAGCAGCGACTACGGGAGGCGCATCATCAGGTTCAGGAGGAGCTCCACCCCAGAAGATGCAGAAGAGCGGCGACGGAAGAAATGACGACAACAAGCACAGCAAACTTCTGCTTCTGATGGCTCGGCTTCTATTGGCTACAACCCGAAGCATGTCGGACCTCGCGGCGGCGGTGTTCATCACGTTCGAGATGAGCGCGGTGCAGGGCTTCCCAGCGGCTCTCATTACGGCGGGCAAGCAGCACGACATTCAGAGCAAGTCGCTGGCCGATCGCGCGGAGGCGGGAGAGCAGCTGGACCAGCGCAGTCACAAGAGGTCGAGGGCCGCCGCACCTACACGTGCTCGTGGCGGGCATTCACTACATCGCGACGCGTCAGTTCGCGGAGGGGGGCAATGCCGAGAAGGAGAAGCAGCTGACATCGGACGCCGAGGAGTTCTGGACCAACACGGTGGCGACCAGCAACATCCTGTCGCTCGGAGTCGCGGTGAAGTACGTCCGTCTCAAGCTGCTGAAGAAGAACGAGTCGGACCAGGGCTGCCTCGTGATCATGCACTTCGATCAGCACAGTCCGATCGGCCAGCAGAGTCAGGAACTCTTCCTGCTGGTCCTGGAGATCGAGGGGAGGGAGAGGCTTCACGGGAGTGCCCCGCGGGGCCCACTGGAGCGCGAGATATCGTCAGCAGTGAACGCCAAATGATGTGGCAGCAGAGTGAGAGAGTTGCATCCCTTGTAGATCGCGGATTGATACCGACAGAGGTAGCAGCACGAGTGTTAGCAGGGGAGAGGAGCATGGCATCATCATATGCGCAGGCAGAGCTTCTCAGCATCCCAACTGTAGATTTGCCTCGCCAAGGCTCTGGCCGTGGGAGGGGGAGGGCGGTGAGTCGGGGTCGAGGGAGGGGGAGAGCGCCGAATAGCGAGAGTCAGCAAAGAGAACAAAGCAACTTACTCACGCTGTCTCCCGTGCCGTCCGAGTCGGCCCTCATCCGAGGTTGCGTGCCTCAGAGGTGCCGACAAGCCAGTGCCTCACCTGAGGAGAAAGAGCTACACACTACTTCAGAAGTTGTCCGTGTCGTCTCGTCTCCTCACTCCCGCATCCCTCCCTCCCTCCCTCATCCCTCCCTCCCTCCCTCTTCTCTCGCCCGCCGCCAGGGGGTCACCGCACGTGATGTCACCGTCCTTGTCCGGCCATTGGCTGAAGTCTTTGCACTCGGGCTGCGGGACGCGCGGGGCCGTCGTCGTCGTCGTCGTCGTCGTGGTCGTCGTCGTCGTCGTCGTCGTCGTCCTCTTCCTCGTATTCCTCGTATTCCTCCTCCTCCTCCTCCTCCTCCTCCTCCTCCACCTCCTCCTCCTCCTCCTCCTCCTCCTCCTCGTACTCGTCGTCCTCATCGTCGGCGGCGGCAGCTTGAAGGCCCCGACCACAGGGAGAGGCAGGCGGCCGCAGGGCGTCGCCACCTCGGCGGCGCAGCGCGGCAGCTTGCAGAGC